TAACTTGACAGATAAGTCTTATTTCAATTAAGAGTTTAGAAGTTCCATGAATTGAAGCTGGTTGTTGAGCCGTGCAGGTATATTAGTATTCCAAATTTACTTAAATAGCATCTAAAAATATTTTAAACAAATGATTTTAGAGCTTGTTAATCTCTATATTCCTTAGATTTCACCAAGCTATATAACAAAATATTCAGTAAATCTTAAATTCAGTAACTAAATAATTTACTCACATTACTAAGTTTTATTGAGTTAAAATGTAACTCAGGAACACAAAATTAAGACCACTATTCATAGATTTTACACAGTTACTTTCCTGATGTCAATATCTAACCCTGACCTTATCATCATCAACTGGTCACTTCCCTATTTGATAAAATTTGCCTTCTGTTCATCTACTCGTTATCAAAAAATAAACCCTACTTTCTCCCTATCATTCAACCGCACATAAAGTGAAACATGCCTGGTTTCTGGGCCAGCTTGATGTTATTTTTGTTCTGGCATGTTCTCAAGCTAATTGGTTGAATTCAGAGTCCTAAAACATCGTGGTCCCCATTCAAATTTCCAGCCGAATTTCTAGACAATCTCATTTCTCAAAGAGTATCCAGATTTATGAAATAATCTTTCTCCTCCTCTTTCATTCCTTCCATTTTCCATAGTCAATCAATCCACACACATTGAGCACTGTTATGAGCCAACTCAATTAAAAATGTTCAGTACACAGATAAAAGAGTTATAATTCTTTAAGGCTTTAGATATTGAGCTAGTTTATTTTTGTTTCTGTCTCCCTTGCCTGGGGAGACATAACCAGAAAAAAATTACTAATGCTAATGTCCAAGAATTTACTGCCTATGTTTTCTTTTAGAAGTTTTATGGTCTCTGATCTTTTATTTAGGTCTTTAATACATTTTGAGTTAATTTTGGGTATGGCCAATTTCACTGACCAATTTCACTTTTTTTTTGGTAACTGTTCAGTTTTCACAACACCATTTTATTGAAAAAACTGTCTTTACCTCATTGTATATTCATAGCTCCTTTAATGTTGATTAATTTACCATATAAGTGTGGGTTTATTTCTGGGTTCTCTATTCTGTTCCATTGATCTCTGTGTCTGTTTTTGTGCCAGTAACATACTGTTCTGATTACTATAGGTTTATACTATAGTTCGAAATCCAAGTGCATGACACATTCAGTGTTTTTCTTCTTTCTCAAGATTGCTTTGGTTAGTCAGGGTCTTCTGTGATTCAATACAAGTTTAAGGATTATTTGCTCTACCTCTGGAAAAACAGACATTTTTCCAAAGAAGACATACAGATGGACAACAGACACGCACACAAAATGCTCAACATTACTAATCACCACGGAAATGCAAATCAAAACCACAATGAGATACCACCTCCCACCAGTTAGAATGGCTAGTACCAAAAAGACAAGAAATAAGTGCTGGTGAGGATATGGAGAAAAAGGAACCCTCATGCACTGTTCGTGGTAACATAAACTGCTGCACTGGAAGGCATTACAGAGGTTTCTCAATAAACTAAAAATAGAAATACCATATAACCCAGCACTCCACTACTGGGAATATAACCAAAGAAAATAAAATCACTAATCCAAAGAGATATATGCAATCCTATGTTCACTGCTGCATTAATTACTATAGCCAAGATATGGAATTAATCTAAGTGTCCATTGATAGATGAATGGATAAAGAAGATGCTACACATGTACAATGAAATATTACTCACCCATAAATGAAATCTTGTCATTTGTGACAACATAGATGGACCAGAGGATATTACACTAAGTGAAAAAAGTCAAAGACAAATACCATATGATTTCTCCTTATATGTGTAATCTAAAAAAACAAAACAAGCAAACAAACAAAAAAGAAATAGACTCATAAACACAGACAGTGGGCTGTTGGCTACCACAGAGGAGGGGATTAGCGGGGTTGGGTGAAATACCTGAAGAGAATAAAAAGGCACACACTTCCAATTATAAAGTAAACTAGTCACAGGAATAGAAGTATAGTATGGGGAATATATTTAATAATATTGTAATATCTTAGTATAGTGACAGAGGGTAACTACACTTAACCATGATGAGCATTTACTAATGTATATAATTGTCTAATCACTATCTTGTACATCTGAAACCAATATAATATTGAGTATCAACTATATTCCAATTAAAAAAACATACTGAATTAGCTCAACTTTTGGGGGAAGGTCACTTGAGGTACTTTACATCGTATTTGTGTTTTATAAAAAGCTAATTTCTTATTCATGATTGCCAAAACATGGAAGCTTATCCTTCAATAGGTACAAACTCTGATACATCTGTACAATGGAGTATTGCTCATCAATAAAAAGAAATGCACCATGAAGCCACAAAAAGACATGGAAGAATCTCAAAAGAACATTATTAAGTGGAATAAGCCAGTCAATAAAGGCTGCATATTTATGATTCCAACTGTGACATTCTGGAAAAGGCTAGAGACAACAAAAAGACCAGTGCTTGCCAGGGAGTGGAGGTGGGAGAAAAAGGATTTTTAGGGCAGTGAAACTATTCTGAATGATTCTATAATGATGAGTACATGTCATTATACATTTGCCAAAACTCGTAAAATGTACCACATAAAGAGTAAACCTAATGTAATCTATGGACTTTTACTAATAATAGTATATCAATATCAGCTCATCAATTATAACAAATGTACCTATCGACTTCAGCACTACCTCAGTGTTTTTGTAAACTGCTGCATTTTATCAAATTCAAGATGTCATCAAACCCAAAATGTTAACAACAGAGGAAACTTGGATGGGGAATATACATGGAAACTGTATTTTCCACTCATTTTCCTGTAAACCTAAAACTACCCTCCACCAAAAAATCTATTAATTAAAAAGTAAAGTCTAAAAAAGAAGTAAATAAGTAACTACAAAAAAGTAAGTAAATAAACAAAAACAAAGGAGCAAGAGAAAAGAATGAAGAACACAAATATTAGGGATGAAAGCTAGAGAGGGAATGAAATCTTTGAAGGACAATACACACTGAGGAGTGGGCTAAGGGAAAAATTCTGAAAAGCCTCTGGATGTGAAAAGACAGGGACCTTCGCTTCAGTTTAGGATTCCCACTAGGCCTTTTAATGAAGCTTATGTACTATGAATGTTCATTATCATGTTTAGTTTAAAGGCCTTACAATCTCCTAATCCTTTTGTCAAGAATGAAATGAAAATTTAAAAAGCCTTTAAAAAGAGAGACATAGAACAAATATTCTATCTTCCGCAGTACTCTACCAACTTCAGCACTACCTTAGTGTTTTTGTCAAACTGTATATTTCTCCAAATTCAAGATGTCATTAATTGTTAAGATCTGACATAACTTCATGTACAATCAAGAAAAAAAATCTTACCAATTAACCATCACACCATCAATTAACTAGAAAACATAATCCTGATTTCAGAAGATGTTAAAAAGTAAAAGTTAGATGAAACATGATTACTTCAAAAAGAGATCATCTTTTGTTTAACAAGAGACAAAAAAAGTCTTTTAACAGATTATCTTTTGTAATCCCCACGTTACAAACATGTCTTATTTCTACATGACATAATTTCCCCAAAAAAAGAAAATCAGTAATAATTTGAAAATAAGTGCCATTTCCAAACTGAGCTCTGATAGCCATAAAAATATCTGCAATCTACACAAGGGATGTATTTATACTGAGACCCTCTGTATGAAAAGATTTCATGGAATTTGGTAGGGAGGAAATTTTCCCAAATAAAAAACAGTTATCTCTTAAATACACTATGGTCCAAAGCATGCAAGAGAAGAAATGTGATGAATAAATATAGTTCCTAATATCAGTTAAATTCTTTATTATACAGCAGTTCCCCCTTATCTGTGGGGGATACATTCCAGGACCCCCAGTGGATGCCTGAAACCATGGACAGTACTGAACCCTATATATACTATGTTTTTTCCTATACATACATACCTATGAAACAGTTTATATTTTAGGCACAGGAAGAGATAAGATGAACAACAATAACTAAAAAGAGAACGATTTTAATAGTATTTTATAATAAAAGTTATATGAATATGATCTTTCTCTCTCTCCAAATATGTTACTGTACTGTACTCACCCTTCCTGTGATGCTGTGAGATGGTGAAATGCCTACGTGATGAGATGAAGTGAGAGGAATGACAGAGGCACTGTGATGCAGAGTCAGGCTGCTATTCACCTCTGACAGTATGTCAGAAAGAGGATCGTGGGCTTCTGGACCATGGTTGACGCTGGGTAACTGAAACCACGGAAAGCAAAGCTGCAGATAAGGTGGGGACTCCTGTAGATTACTTTTTCCGATAACAATTTTTCCTATTTCTAGTGAGAGCTCACATAGTAAAGCAATACAAGGAGGTAGGTCTTTTTTAACTTCCAACAAGCTATTAATATTCAAACTGCAAAATGGAAAGAAAAGTAGGCAAAAAATTCCATGGTTACTTATGTGCCTAAATTATAATTAAAGAATATCTTCTCCCCCTCCCAAAAGAACATGATCCAATATTTGACCTACTTGACCTACTTCTCTCCTTCAGCTCTCTCCATTTCCACAAGCTCCTTCACTATGTCAACATACATTACAGTGTTCACAGAAGCACTCATTTAGGCCATTCACCACAGGATATTGAAAATAAACAACAAAAGACACATACTGAGGGAACATTATGTTGCATTTAATCTTTCTTCTTAACTCGTCCCACCTTCAGATGTCCCATCCAACCATGATTTCCAGAAGGACTTAAGAATGAAAGGCCAAATTGGACCTCTCATTTCTAGTCATTCTTCAGAGAACAGAATTAAAGCCAGAGTAAAGATGAATATGGAGAGTTTAGACTAAACCTTGGTTGGGCTACTCCTTATTATAAAGTTACAAAAACTAGCTGCAGTGTAATGTCAGATAAGAGAGTAAGACCTCTTGGAACTAGCACTGTGTATATCTAAAATAGGAGTTAGGGAAGTAGAGGGCAAGGGAATGTATCAGAGACAAGGCAAAAAAGGGCCAGCTAAAAATTCCTCAAAAGAAGAAGGACAAGAACTGCTGATCCTCCAATGCTGCAACTATCCAAGCCCAACACTGGTGACTGGTGGGTTGAATTAAAGACAGAGAAGCAAAATAAATAAAACAACAGATTAAAGAGATGCAACACTGTATCACCTACTAAGTATTTGTGCCAAAAATGCTTAACCTCAGCTGAATCAAACCTGAACATCTTAACACCCAGTTTACAGGAAATACAGAAAACAGTGTAACAACTTAATACTTACCAAAGAAAGCAATCAGACAAAAATCAGAAGGCAGGTCATTCTATAAGTCAAGCCTCTCCCACAGGTCAATGTGATGGGTAAACAAACAAAGGCAGTGGGCTGTTTAGGTGGAAAAAAGATTTAAGACTAAAAAAGAAGTCTCTTTAAAAGGGGAAAAAAAGAGGTATAACCAAATGCAACAAATGTTTCTGGAACCTGGCTTGTACAAACCTGCTTAAATGGCATTTCTGGGGATAATGGAAAATTAGAACAAGGACAAGGTATTACATCACTAAGAATTATTGTTGGTTTTTTGTAATGTGTGAAGGCAGCATTATAGCAATACAGGGAAATGTCTTTATATTTTAGAGGTGCAAATGATATCTATAATTTAGTTTAAAACTCTTGTTACTATTATTCTGCTTAATGAAAACTAGCAAACTAAATATGGAGTATAGATGGGATAAATACTTTTCAAGAAATATGTCATGTCCTCCTATACAGCTCTGCTTGATTACTCTATTTTCATTCTGTTTCACTCAGGTTAGACACTTCTCCTCTGTGCTTTCAAAGCACTCCGTGTTTATCTATATACAGTCAAGGAAATGTAGTTTTCAGGAGGCGTATTCAGACAGGTGAGAGTGTAGCCAGACTTTCTACCATAGAATAACAACCACCTGGCCATGCTGGCAAGAGTCTTGAGTCCAGTGGTAGGAAAGCCCAATGTTTGTTAACATTCTCTTTGATAGAACCACATAAACTGAAAAGCAGATATTTCTGGAATAGTAATGCAACCCTCAGATACAAAAGTATGAGGGAAAAAGGCTGTATACTCTCATTCTCCCAAAGCACTTTTACAAACTCCTTGAGGAATTAGGGAGGACAAGGAAACTTCACTTCTGACTGGAGAATGCTATGTTAACTCTCATTTTGTATGAATTTCTCAAAGCAGGTTAATTTCTGCCATTAAAGAAAATGTATTTTTAAATAAAATGTATTTTCTTTAACCCTGTCTGGTAGCACTTTCTATCAAGAACTCTATCACTGTGACAACCAGACAATACATTAGTCATAGTTACCTATCAAACTCTTTTGAAATCTACTTACCAATCTCCTTGCAAGGAATTAAGCAATTAATAGGTGAGACTTCATCTTATTTATCTAGCAGAGTGTCGAGCACATTCTGGGAGCTTAAAATATATTTACAAAGCTAAAGGGGAAAAAAATGGCAATAGAGAGAAATTCATACTTTTCCTGTGCCTCCTGGCCCAACCCCCCCACCCCCCCGCTCCCAAGAAAGGACTTCAATAAGAATGCTAGAACAGAACAATTAATGGGAGCTTCTTAAGGCAGAGATACATCTTATTAAGCTTTACATCCTCAATGACAAAGACAACAGAGACAACAGAAAGAGAAACAGAGAGACAGGTATGAAAATAGAGAAACAGAAAAGGTCAGAGAGAATAAAATAAATTCACAGACTCCTTAGTGTATGAACTTTCCAAATGCCTTTTGAACTAAACTAATACTGTTGGTTTCTAATTAACTGGAAAGGGATAAGAAAGTATGCCTTTTTAACTGTCACTGTCAAATAAATAAATATTTACTGGGGGGAAAAATCTGAACCCACAGATGAGTTCTAAATGTATAACCTTTTCTTTAAGAGCCTAGCTGACATGATTATTATCCTATTTATTAACTAGTAAATTAAAAAAAATACTACTGAAACAGAATGCTCTCCTATTCTATGTGAAGCTCTTCTTTTTTTTTTAATTTTTAACAAAATAAATAACGTTTATTTATCTCAAAGTAGGTTCTAATATGTCTCTAGCATATCTGCAAAAGGCTGGTTTCAGAACTGTGTTCAAGCTCTAAGATTATGTAAATAAAGTTACAGAGAAGCAGAGGAAATAAGATGTCCAATACGGAGAAAAAGCAAAAAAAAAAAAACTTGTTAAAGGAAGACATTTAAAAAAGTAAATAAAAGGAACATGTACATGGTACTAAAAATTCAAACTTCACAAAGAGGTAAAAGCAAAAGACATAACCACTATGACCAATCCCCATTAAATAAAAGGAACATGTACATGGTACTAAAAATTCAAACTTCACAAAGAGGTAAAAGCAAAAGACATAACCACTATGACCAATCCCCAGTCCTATTCCCAAATGTAACCACTTAAATATTTTCCTAGGTATCATTCAAGAAAATGATGTCTACACATCAGCATGTATATACGAAATCCTTATTTTCTGATGTTCACATATGAGATCATACAGAAACCTTTTCTTGATACCTTATATTATATACTTTAACACTCTATCTTGGGAATCTTTCCATATCAGCACATAAATTAGTAATACTCAAGCAATATTTATCAAGCACTAATAATGTGCCAGATACTGTGGAAGTGTTACATTTGTTAAACCTTATTTAATCTTCAGAAAAATCCTAGGAAGCACACTATTAGGGTATTAAAGTTTTAAGAGGTTAAGGGAACATAACCAATAAGGAATAGCACCAAGATAATGAACTTAGAGCCTTCACTCTTAAACAGTGCTCTTTTTATCTGCTGTAGAGTCTGTGATATGAATAAACTGGTACATATTTAACCAGTCTATTGGTAGTCATTTAGACATTTGCAAAGATCATCACTGGAATGTAAGCTCCATGAGAGATTTTGTCTAAATCAAGAATTATGGTTGATTTTCTCTTTGGGGTCTTTCATATTTCCAAATTTTCTGCAGCACCATATATTATTTTATAATCAGAAAAAATAGATATTTTTAGACAAATCTCAAAAATAAAGTAACTCTCAAGATTTGATAGAGGCAGGGTTTGAATTCAGATCCATAAAACTCTAAGGACTCTTTCTATGGAAGCAAGTTTCCAAAGGTAAGCAAATGATTCTAGCTATAATTCATATGAATGATTTCTCTATTCTCCAAAATACAGCCTATTTCACTGGGTCAAAGACACCCAGTGAAAATGTCTAGTGAATATACTAACATAATAATAGAGACACTATAATATCCACCACACTGTTATGATCTGTTTCCTATATTTCATGGATGACTAAATAAACTCCCATTTATTGAGGCACTGCCACTTGCAAATTAGTCTATGATAAATTCTTTATAAAGTAAGGTCGACTTTACAACCACTAAAGGCCCAAGAAAACAAATAAACCTACAGGTTAATTTATGAAACCAAACAACAGAAATAGTCTTTCTATATATAATAAACTTAACATTTCAGACACAGCTCCTTTTTGGGAGGATTAAAAAAAAAGATGTCAATGACTCATGTGTCCCATCTGACACTATTTTGGTATAACATTTAAGCCAAAGATTTGTAAGCTTTGTATTAAAGAGACTTAGATGTCCCTATCAGTCTGATCTATAGTACTTCATTATATCTCAAATTCCTCAACTAAATTATAGAACATATTAAAGCACAACTACAGAAAATAATTTTCCAAAATTTAGCATTTAGAAAAACTAAACACTGATCTGAAATCAGCAACTAAAAAGAAAATTCAGGGGGTAAAAAAAAAACCTCTACTGTAAAAAGGTCAATCCTCCCAAAAGGAGATAATTTATCTTCAATTCCACCTTACTTCATAATAATAAAGCCAGAATCTCCTTTCCAACAAGCATACAACTTATATCCTGCTATATACAATCAGTTACTAAGTCCTGTTAATTCTAACTCAAATACTTCCCAAAACTTTGTCTCCTACTTCCCTTGCCTATAGCATTTGCCTACAAACAACAACATACTTAATGGTAAAAGTCTGAATGCTTTCCTCCTTAGATTGGGAAGGAAGCAAAGATGTCTCCTCTCACCCTTCCTGTTCAACAATGTACTGCAGTTTCTAGCCAGTGCAAAAGGGGAAAGAAGGAAAGGAAAGGAAAGAAATTAAAGGCATTTGGATTGAAAAGGAAGAAATAAAACTGTCTTTACTCACAGACAACGTGATTCTATATGCAGAA